CTGGCCTGCTTTCCTGAGCCCCCCAGGGCACAAGGAAGCTCTGCTGAGCCCAGGGGGGCCAAGCCCACAGGTCTCATCCAGCCCTGCCTTGCCCCTGATTTCTCCAATGCCTTCCCACATCGCTCCTGCTGAATTAAGGATGCTGGCACTGATGTCAGACAAAGCCAAATGTTACAACACGATGAGCTAAATTATACCTGGTGCAAGAGCCAAGGAGGGAAGGGACTTTTCAGTGCTGAAAAGCCCCCACGCTGGAGGCAGGATGCTTAGAGTTGGAAGCTGCTGCCTGCCTTACATTCCCACTGTTCCAGTGCCTTCCTTGAGGCAGCAGGGGAGAGATGAAATAATCCTCTTATTCAGGAGACATCAAGCTAAAGAGAATGACCCATCAGGCTACTCGATTCAGCTCGGTGCTGCAGAATGTGAGATGCCTGTGACAGCCTTGTCTCACGTAAGCAGTGGGCTATGCAGCCCTCGGGGTGACAGCAAAAGCAGGCAAGCACAGGCACCTGCAGAAGCTGGGGATGCCAGTGGTGCTGGCAAGAAAAGAAGGCCCAGAATTGCAAATATTTAGGCGCAGGAGCAGTTTCTGTATTTATCTTGTCTTCCAGAGAGAAAGTTAGTCACGTGCCTGAGCGTCTGTAAGTCACAATCCGTAGGGCATTTCAGACTGCTATTGTTTCACATACATTTTTACACAGTTCGTGAAACAGAAAAAATACACAGCGAAGGTGGGGTTTTCATTTCTTCAGGACATTATAGCTCTGTGTATAGCCAGCTGCTCAACTCCTGCTTCCCCATGTAAGGATGAAAAGTGCCACAGGTCCCATAGTAGGGAAGGGCTGTGCTGAAGTGGGCTCTGTGAGGACTCCTGCAGCAGGGTATCCCCGTCTGCCTGAAAACACAGGGATGGCTCCATGCACAAAGTATCTACGCTTCCAGTCTCCTGACCTTGTTCTTTAAAATATTTTAGAACTTCAGGTCTCAGTAGTACCCTCCTTTAGTGAGTCAGATTTTCCATGTCATTCCAAGCTGGTCTGGATATTTTGTAAAGTAATGTTCCAAGCATGCTTATTTCAATGAAACTGTGATTGTAAAAATAGTCATGGTTCTATTTTCTCCGCTTTCCCTGTGCGTCTCTGGAGTTAACACTACTTAATTTGTTGTCATAAATAGATCTTTCTGTCTGCCTTTTTTCTTTTCCTCTCTCTTTTTTTTTTTTTTTTTTTCTTTTGGTAACTGAGAGAAATCTGGTCTTCCTTGCTCATTGTAAACAAAACAGCTAATTAAGTTCTGATTCCAGAGTCTTTAGCATGGCAATGACATCTTTAAGCACAACACTGACAGCTGGAATATTACTTCCCAGAACTGGGTCTTCGGTGCTGCTGGGTGACATTTAAGAGAAGTCTTTAGTCCTGTGAATGGAGAAGATTTGATATGTTAGCTATTGAGAGGTTAAATAAAGTAGAAACTTGAAATTTTTATGTTCAAGGACATAACCCCAATTTCGTGGTGTCTGGGTGAGCTTTTCAACTGCAGCAGTTTTGAACTCAGCACAGCTGGTAAACAAAGTGAATAAAATCCCCTTTAGCCATATTCTGCAATTTGACACAAAACAGGTAAAGAAAGGAAGAACCAAATACATGTATAATCCTCCTTGTGAGGCTGGTGTGAGAAGAATTACTCTGCTCTTCTACTTAATGATCTCTTTGACTGGAACACCTTCTCCAGGTGAATAAATTATCCCTCGCATTGTTGGTAGAACTGACCTAGATGGGTTTGAAAATTTCACACAAATTTGCTCTGTGTTCCACATCATGCTTGGATCCAGCACATTACTCAGTGTGGTTTTAATTTGACTCCTGTTGATGGCCAGCATTAAATTTTCTATTGAATTACAGAGAGTTTTTGAAAGTGTCACCCCTGGGAGACAACTTGGTATCCTGAAAGCTAATGGCTAAAAGCCTATTGATTCAACAGTCAGGAATCTATGGCAATTTTCAGGAGGTCACCTCCCTCACACCTTTTAGTTCCCCTTTTCCTCCAAAAAAACCTGAAATCAATCAACACAGAAAGCAGGATCACTGTAAATCAGGTACTGGTTTTTGATTGGAAGGTCTTTGAGGATAGGAAGTGAAGCAAAAGCAGAAAACTTCATTCCCAACCTATAAGCTGGTGACATTCTCACTAAGTAAAAGGATGGCTCAAGCCCACGGGTACGCACAATTACTCTACAGCAACTGAAGGATGAGCAAGAGGTGGTGCAAAGATGCAATTCAATTAAACCTTGGAATAGCTCCCTAAATTTGGGAGCTTTGGGCAAAACACACATTATGGCATGGAGGTGAACACCTAATGCAGAGGCAGAAACGCCACTGGGTTCTTCTGCATCCCATTCCTCCTCCCACCGCACAGGAGCACACGTTCCCTGCACACGTGCGAGGGACACCCAGTAAAGTTTTTACCAGCAAGTGGTTTGGGCTCAGCTCTTGTCTGAAAATGGAAGAAAGTTGTTTTAATTCTCTCAACCCTGTGCAGTGTTGTGGAAAAAGTATAGAGCGTGGAAGAAAGGAGGGGTACTTGTGTAAAGCAGACATCGCCCCACCTCTGGCAGCTCCATCGCATACTCTCCGATGGCTGGTCGTAATTACAGTGGACAATTATTTCACCTCCATAGCTGCCTGTGTTTGAACACTTGGTGTGTTGCATTACAGAGGCAATTCAAATGCTTCCATTCATTTTAGGAGAAGCTTCTGTGATGCCCCTCAATTATTCATGATACAGCTTTCTTCCATCAGAAGTACCTCCGTGACTCCCCGACGCTTTACGAAGTGAGGGTTATCGCAGCGCACGGCTCACTGAGAGGGCATGGAGGGAGGTGCAAAGCTCCTCTGTCATGTGAAGGAGAACAAAGATCTCAAGTGACATTTGCTGCAACACCTTTGGGAAGCATGAGGCAGGCTGGAGGTGTTGTGAAGATGCCTTTACATCCCATGAGAGGAAGAAGAAGCCAGGAAAGGACCTGACCCAGCTGTGCCATGTGGTTCTAATGTACCAGGAAGAGCTTGGATTATCTGGTGGCCTTAAGAATGGCACTGTGAAAATGCTAACAAGACAGGTAAAACTTTGGGAGAATGTATGAAGGGTGTTAATTTCAGACTGCAGGAGGTTGAAAATGTGAATACACAGAAAAACCAGAGATAGCACTCTCAGCATCCATGCTGGGGCATATCTGAGATGGAAAACATCTCTCATCAGAATATAAAAGTGCATGAGTACACCAAAATACAAGATACGCTATTGCATGCAAGAAGAAGTGAAGCACATTAAGATGTAGGAATCACGCTTCTTTGCACAGTTAGTAGAGCATGGTGATCCTGAAGAAAATGTCTTTGAAACAGAGGAACAGAGACCTCTGGACTTATGCCCAGTTGTTCCCTGGCAGTGTCCTGGGCCAGGCATCAAAAGCAGAACAGGAAAGTTCGTGGAGTCCAGCAGAGGACAAATCTGGTGGAGTCTGAATCTCCCCTAAAGGCCACTCTGCACTGCTCAGCCTGCAGAGCAGAACCTCACTGCCACCTCGGGAATGTCATTTGCCCACACTGCAGACATTCCCGTGCTTCTGAACCTGCATTTGAAGGGAGCGAGCAGCTGAGAGCACAGCGATTCCTCGGGGGCACTTACAAATTACAGCTGAATCCAACTCGGCGCCTCAGACTGAGCTACTTGGGACATCCGAAATATGAGTGAATGCTCCTACATTACAGTAAAAGGCTTCGATTTCAGCAAATTGACATTTTGGAAAGAAAAAATATTTTACCATAGGAGTTGGAAGACGCAAATAAGCGTCTAGGGGGATTTTTGGAAAGCACTGAAGCAAGTTGAAGAGTGACTTCTATTTTTTAAAATCTCATCTAGTTCCTAGCTACATCTTTCATTGCCTTTGAAAATTGGGTCCTTTATTAACGAGAGTTAAATTACATAATACCAAAGAAAGAATTTAAAATAATTACTTCCTAACCCCTTTTGCAAAGCCCTGAAGCGCAAGGCTTTATTACCCTTATCTTAACTTTCTTAACTACTAATGTTTTAGTAGTTAGAAAATTATCCTTTCCCTTTTGAAAATCCAGCTGCAGTTATTATTTCCACATTTTTATTAGCCCTCCTTATATTGATAATAATCGCACCATATTGAGGTGTTCGGGAGAAGACATTAAGGCCAATCAAGTGAATAATTCAACATTTTAAAAATTGTCTGAACACAAATTTACACAATAGCCTGTGACAAAAGAATCTTTAGGGGATGATCAAATAAATAACACCCATTTTTCAAGAACACTGCAACACTATCAAAAGAATAATACAACCTTTTTTTTAATGGTAAGCTATTATTATTCATGTATGTAGGCAATTTTAAGAGCTCTGAAGCTGTGCTCTGCCAGGTTCCTGTGTGCTGCTTTGGGAGGAGGCAGCGGTACCGTCGGAGATGCTGGTTTGCATCTCCCAGCGCCGCTTACCTGCTCTGCTCCGAAGGCAGCTTCAAGGCCTGCACCTTGCTTTTCCCATTTACATGACAAAAATACATTAACATTGTTTTATAACATGGCTAGAAGGCACATGTAAGAGTAACATCTATGTATATGCATCCTATACTTTGTTGAATTGGGTGGGTGCATGCACGTTTCAGGGAAAGTGCTTCCCTCATTTCCTTTTTACTATGACGTCTTTCCGGTAGTTGGTGTAGAAAACGAGAAATTCACACCAAAGTACATCTTGGCTGGTAGCATGATATCATAGGAAGAGTTTTTGACTCACTTTAAGCTCGGATTTTCTAGATGGTGCTTTTGGAATACCCTGGATTTGATGGGCTTTCAGCTGCACCTCAACAGCCTTTACTTACGGCTCAGTAAGGTAAAACTTCTCCATACAACAGCAAACGCTGCTCAGCTGTAAAAAATAGTTTCTAGCCTCTTACAGAATGAAGCTTGCCAGCTGAATCCTCTCAGTTTACCTGCAGAGGATTCACCTGCTGACAACCCCTTGTAATCTACTCTGCTCAGAGGCAGAGCCTCCTACAGTGAGGGGAAAGCTGCAGGAGCTTTCCCACCAGCAGCTTGAAACCTGCCCAGTACTGTCTGGATGAAAGAGCCTTCAGCAGCCAGAGGAAGGTGCTTGCTCAGAGCAATGTGGTTCTTCAGGTGCTTTTTCTTAAGCTTGTTTAATAGGATTTGATAATGGAAGTAGCTAGAGTCCAGCTTTACCTGTTCTTTCTGGTACGATTAAAGAAGGAGTGGAAATCTGGGTGGTGAGTGAGCTGTGTGGCTGGCAGTGTGGTCCTGTGGGGCTGTTCCTGGAGTTGTGTGGGTTCTTACTGCTGTTAGTGTCAAAGGAGCATGTGCTTGCAGGCTGTACCTCTAAATCCAGAGAGCCCTTGCACCTGGATTCTGGAATTTAGAAACTTGGTGGTCTCAGCACTATTCCACCTTGATGGTTTCATCCCTCTACCTCCTCAAGATCCACCTGGTCCCATGAAACGTGTCCTGGAGCAACTGGGAGCTGCTGGGTGAGTGCAGCCTTCCCAGGTACACATGAGGCTTCTTTCATTATCACAACCCCTTTGTGACTCTGTTTTCTGTGGCTCTTCCATGGACAGATGTCTAGTCCTACATGTGTTAGTTGAGGTGTTATTTCTGTGTCAGGACTGCAGTTATCTGGCCAAGCCACAGGATGAAAAGCAGAGCTTTGGGAGCTGCCAAGCATCCTGATGTGATCTGTGCCTTGCTACTGACTCAAACCGCAAGAAAAACTGAGTGGGTGGGAAAGTTGTGGAACAAATGTTATTCCATGCAGAGGAGAACTGCCAAGGGGGGGTTGTTAGCCAGTGGCACCAAATTAAGAGTTTAAAGTCTTTTTTCATAAACAGTTTCTTCAAATGACTGGCTTGTTAGATCTGTGTGGAGCTTGCCCTGTTGGATAGCATTTGCACTTTTCATTTGAAGCTGGCTGCATTTGCAAAAGCTTTTCTTGCAGGGTGACTGCTAACCACTGCCAAGGTTGTATCAAATGCTAAACAATGCTTGGTTTATCAGACAGCACTGCCCACGTCTTAAAACTTCCAAGTCTGCTGTTCTGCAAGAAGAAAATAGTGGGGAATGCAGAATTAAGAAATGTAAGGGAGGTAAGACAGAGGCTGGGCAGGTCCTGTTCCTTGCTGTGCCAAGGGGTACAAGGGCCAGAGCCTAGAAACACCCTGCTGGAGGCCAGGAGCTCACTGTGCCAGGGTGATACCAGCATGGAGATGGGGACCAGAGGCACAGGAGGCTGGAAAATGCTGACCTCAGTGTGAGGCCAGAGCCTGGTGCTGGACAGCCTCACGTCCTCCCTGTTAGGCACTGATGTGCTGGGGCCCTGCTCCCCCAGCTCACCGTATCCTGTCCTGCTCATCTCCAGCCTCAAATCAAGGAAAACAGGAGGAGTCAAGGCTGGAGCAGCCCTTCACAGCGGCTCCTTTTTTCACTGCTCTCTATTTCTCCATGCTATTGATTTATTCCTTCAAGATTTAGCTTCCATTTGCTGGGATTTTTTATTAGTCGAGAGTTTGGGACAGTAAAGAGCCATCTGTATCATCCGTCTCTTCTTAGGCTGTCTCCTGTCCTCCCCTGCCTCATTTTTCAGGAGGCAGTGGGTGTCGTGAGCCTCTGGGTTTGGAACTTGTTACCTGGCTCCCCCTGCCCCTGGTTCTTTAAGATGCATACTCTTTGGTGATAAAAACCCATTACAGCCTGCATGAACGTTGGCTTTGTTATTTATTGCTCTCTCCTAAATAATATTCTGAGATTTGGCTGCCCTTCTTGCCACTACTTAGCCTTCTATCCCTCACTCTGAGCAGCTGGGATGCTGCTTTTTGCCTCTTTTTTCCTGAGCCAAACTTCTTTGCAGGCTATAAAATAATGATTTGACGGGAAGAGCACAGGTGACAGGAAAGCATGGTACCTCGGGCTTGATTTAAAGAAGGGGGAGGCAGCCACAGCTGAGAAGTGGATTGATGTTAATTGTTCCATCAGATGATGAGAGCTGGGCTGCTCCCTCAGTGAGGACTGAGCGCCTGGGGTCTGCTGTGCTAGGCACTGTACAAATCACAGATGCAGATCCCATTTCTAAAGGGGCATTCTAATGAGATGACATAAATGAGCTAATTTGTATGTTCCCATGCTCGGAGGGATAAAAGCCAGCCAGACCCCACGGCTTCTGAGTTGAGGGTTGGGGCCAAAGGCTCGGACAGCAGGGCTTCCCTCCTCAGGCTCTTCATCCCACGAGCATCTCCTGATAGCAAGCAGCAAATTATTTCAGCTGTTCAGAACCACGCGTGTGAAGCTGCTTCAGGTCAGCTTTTGGCCTTGTGGGTCAATGCTGGCTTCAGAGACCAGTGCTGCAGGAGGGAGAGTCGTGCGCTGAACAAAGCGCCCACCCGTGCCTTGAAATCTGCTCAAGGCAGCACGGACTGGAGGAGAGGAGGCACGTGGGGAGGCTGGCACATTGCTTTCTTGCATTATTACTAGGGCATTGCTGCTGTGGTGCTGGGTGAGCCCCCAGCCTCTCACCCCACAGCTTCACCATGCACTGAGAGCAGGACTGAGGCCAGGGGGGGAGGCTGCAAATAGGAGCTGCAGCCAGGGAGAAGTGGAAGAGGAGGGTTTTATGAAGCTGGCTGAATTAATCGAATCGATAGTTTTAAGTACTTAATACTTAAAGTGCTTCAAGTGTTGGTTATAAAAGCCTGTGTAAACATAATGTATAAATACTTGGTAATTGACAGCTCATTCTGGGAAAATACATCTCCTGTAAGTTTTGTGTGCGCATACTGCTTGTTTAGATACATAATCATAATTTATGTTGTTACAGAGTGTTCAGGTATTAATCAACTGTAACAATAATACACGGAGTTAATGCTGAGTGCATCCCTCCTAGCACCATCTGCTTGGGTAGAGGAAAAGGCTGGCAAATAGCTGGCAAGAGCAATTTTGTGATTTAGCAGAAAACACGGGAGGAAGCTGAGCTCTGTAATGGACAGAGATAACTCCAAATGAATTAAAATCTGCACATTTTGTGCGTACGCTTACCACCAAATCATAATGACATCATGGTCTCTGCTGAGCTGCTGGATCTGGTGTTTTCAAGTGAACTTGAGTCTTTAAACCTAAGCTGGGCGAAGTGTTAGAAAGTGCATTACAGGAGAAAATCCTCTGTTGCCTGAGGGCTGGTACAGCTCAAGAGCTTTTCCCTCTTTTGTGTCTTTGTGATTCCAAGATCTGCTGTTGTAGGATTTTATACAGAACTTCAGGATCAATATTGTTCTGGAAGCAAGTGTCACAGCACGCGTCTGTCAGTGTGTGTCCAAGCTGATTTTAGAGCAGATTTTTATTTGTGCATCTGTTTGGGCTAAACCAAGAGGCGTCAAGAGAAGAACCACAAACAGGCAGCAGAAGTGTGTGGCCAAAATGAAAGCTGCATCTGTCTGGGCACGAAGTGGAGTCAGGGCTTCCTTGCTTTCCTGGTTTCTGTCCCTGACTTGACTCACCAAAAGAGCATTTAAGCCTACATTTTAAGTTTTGCCGTCAATTTAGAGAGGTATTTTCAGTCGTGAGTGGAAGCTAAGCACCCCTTTAGCTCTGATGGATTTGAATAGAGCTTGGAAATCTCCTTGATCCCTGGGATTTAACCATGTGCTTGAAGTTTAAGTGCATGCTGAGGCTCTGCTTCCACTTAGCTCCTTATCCCAGGAGAACAGTGCTCTTAAATGCCATTTTACCAGTTGAGCCAGGTCTCCAGGTTTCTCCCCATCCCCAGGGTTTTGCTGCAAGAAGCTTTCAAGGCAAGGTGCTGTGATACCTGCCTCTTGTGTTCGGCATCTTTGATAGTCAAAAAGGTGTTAGCTTTTTTTATGAAGATTACCAGCATAAACCAAGAAGATGAAATGTTTTAAAACCCCACCTATGCCAGTGTTATGTGTGTTGGCTGATAAATCAGTCTCCTTATCAACTTTTCATGCATCGCAATGGACTTGGCAAAGATTAGCACAAGATGAAAGCCCTTTATTACCCTCATCTGCAGACTTGTGAACATTCGCACTCAAGGACAATTTCCCACACCTTATCTGGACTGGAGGCAGCATTGATTTAGCTTACATTAACCTTTTAAGACCTATCAGATTACACTGGATACATTTCACTTGATAAGAATTTAACTCAAGTTTGGTCTCTGCCATTCTTCTGTGCAGCTGAGTCCTGTAGTATCATATTAATCACGATCAGGCAATCTGCTTCGGAACTTTTGGTGGTGAAGTGTTTTTAATCACAATTTTAGTTCTAAAATTACTGACCAATCCTCCCAGCCACCTCACTCATTTTAAATCAATTGTTCCCAGGAACATTTAGCTTTCTAACAGAAAGTCTGTGCAGCACTGTTTCAAGGCTAACTTAAGGACATAACTCTCGGACAATCCTCCTTATGTCCTGTACTACCTCGTTCTCTTTTGTCTCAACTAGTTTCATTTTATCAAGATTCATACCCTGGCTTTTGGTTTGGGGTCTGGGGAAGAAGTTTTGAAGATGGAACCTCATGCCAGGTAGCTAATTTCGTTGCACAAAACCTGATCTGGGTCTGCAGATGAACAAAAAGCCCATGCACCTGCATGTCTAGTGGTTTATAAAAACAAACCATTCTGCATCTTTCTAGTTCCGTGGAGGTCCTTGCACATATGCAGTTGGCAACTAGAGGCTGTCTGTGTGTGCACCACAAGGAGCATAAGTAAGTAATAGCCAGCAGCAAAATGATGCAAACGGCCAGTGTGCAAGCCCTCCTATGGAGGATGCTGCTTGCATAGCCTCAGGTTGCTTAGAAAAGCATCTTTACTAGTGTCTGAAGTGGGATCCCATCAGAGAGGAATTGCTTAGAAAGGGAAATAACTGTAGTTTAGTACCAAAACAGTGGCTTCCATGTGGCTTGCATACATCCTTCATTGTGCCTGTTTACCGTGGATGACCCTGCCTGGGGATCTGCCCTGTAGCAGACTCTGCAGCAGACAATTCTGTCCTTACATCAGTCGGGTAGGAGACATCTGGTACAAAATGTGCCGTCCTGTCCAGTGATTGTTAAATCAACATATTTAAAACACGGTTTGGTCAACCCTGTGCAGCAT